CTCTCTCTGCCATTGTAGAAGCCGTTTGATGTTTTTGTTTAATTCGAGATTATTTATTTTCTACCTGTGCTTCGAACTCTGTTATCGGTTACAGTCTTATCATTAATATGAGCCAAAAAGAAGAGCGCGATCAATCAAGAATTGAGTTAATCAATATTGACGCGACGGAAATCGAAATTGGCGATAACAGATATCGGGAAAGTCGAATCTAAAAAAATAACTTATTGTTACGTGAGTTTAATACCTCGAGTGCAATGTCTCGCATCACCGTGTATATTCTACGACAAAGGAAAGGGACGCGAAAGAGCTTGAGATGGAGAGCGATAAATCGAGACAGTTCGGAACCCTCGAAACTTTTCCATCGTCGGCGCGCATCTCGAGGAAAAGTGCTCTCACGAACTTATCGACTCGATATGTCGGGACATTGTGCCTGTCCCATGGGCGAAATCGAAACAGAAGTAAGTCGGATAAAAGCCCTTCCGCAATAATGGTAGAGATCGAGAGTTCCGATAGGTCGATATACTCATTTTCGCGAGCTGTCCCTCTTAAATGCACCGCACGAGGGATGGCACGCGGAAGACAGAAATAATACAAAAGGGTAAAGATATCGGGAAAACATATCTCCAGTCTCCTTTCTTTTCTTTTTTTAATATCCGATTTTAGTAGCCGATGCAAGCATATAAAAGTCGTCACATCAACGAGGTCAAATAAACAATTCTCCCTGTCGATCCGGAAGATGGGGAAGGTCGAAGGCAACGGTCGCGAGCGGGCAGAGAGTTGAGAGAAAGATCGATTTCTTCTTCTGACGATTATTGTGAGATGAGAGGGGAAAAGGGGGGAGGGGACGGGAAAGAAAATAGGAGAACTCGGGAATCGAGAAATCCCCGGGTACTGGTAATTGGTAAATGAGAAGACGGCTACAGAGCGAAAGAGGAAGATTCGGATACAAACGTACCGTGTGTCTCGTCATGGCGATCATCGGCCGATCTACGGGACGCGGACTCCGGATGGTGATGACGACGATCGAGGAAATCGCTGCTGTCGGTGCGACGGCCGATCTCGCGAGTACGCCCGCCGAAGACTAATATATCGCGTGCTTTCTCGGCGTGCTCGCGGCAACAGTGACACGTGCTCCCACCTCTTTCGACAAATCAGGGGCATACCCACGCGCGTATCTTCCGTCGCGTTTACATTTCTGTCTAGGACACATTATTATGTTGTGCTCTGATATTTGCCGGTGCCGCTGAGACGAAGATGATCCTCCTCTTACGCGAAATTAGATTCGTATAAACAAATGTCTCTGTCTCCCTCCCCTTGTCCGTGTTCGCCTTCTTGTCCCAGATAAAGATCCGGGGAAATCCATGGAAGTCTTGTTTCGTCAATGTTATCATTTCTCAGAATTGCAACTTTAGGTTAAAGAATTAATAAGAGAAAAATGTACAAATTGCAAAAAAGTAATTTTAATTATATATATATATATTTTATGTATAATTAGTAAATTTTTTCTGTCAAATAAAACTAAATGTAATTTTATCGATTTTCATTTACGCATATTTTGATGTTTTGTTACAATATCATCGATAACATTTTATCTTTCTAAAGATTTAAATAACTAAATTATTCATATTTATGTCTGTATAAAATTTCTGAATCACGCTGTATATGAAGAAGAGAGATACGACTTGGTAGTATCAGCTGATTTGTGATATATTTCCTGCGTATTTATACACGATAAACAACATTATTTTTATGCACGATTACGTGCGTACGTTTCTTCCTGAAACGTCACGAATTGAACGGGCGCGTCGTTATAATGATAAACTTTATAATCATCATCGTAAAATTGCGAACATCGTGACAGAAATTCAAAGGCAATGCGGGCGACAATGCGTTGTACTGCACTCAGCTGAGCGATATTATTATTATCAAGGCGCCTGTTATTTAACTACGCGAGCAACAAGAGACGATTATCTCCACACGCTTTCGTAAGATAAGAAACTAGTACATGCGCTTGGTTAATACAGCCCCGAATATGTCTGTCAATTAAATAGATTAAGGATCGATCAGTTTCACCAATCGAGATTACACAGCATGCAATATATATTTCTTTCATTAATACTGCCATTGAACTATCAAGATTATTTTCAATTACATTTGATGCTGTTGACTCAACATCATCATATTTTTTCCCGTGCAGATTATTATCCAAATGATAAATTCATTATCATTTGGATAATAATCTGCACGATTAAATGAAATATATTGTTTTTAAAGATGGAAAAAGATAATTTATTATTTTCTTTTAATATAATAGATAAAGATTAAGGATGAGACATTTGTTCGAATGGCAAGCGTGTCTCTCAAATATGCATTTGCCGTCGAAAACTTCTGTCAGCAATAAAAGCAAAAAGTTGTTAACGATTTCCTCTTGTCACGAAATATGTCGTTTCGAAATATTGCATTGTGCCAGGCGTGCTCCGTTTTCAATATTGTGACGATCGAAATGCACAAAGTGCCAATGTCTGACTTTACGCACGCGCTCGGTTCCTTTTAATCTTTTTACATAAAACCTTCTACAATAAAGATGTCGAGCTATCGCACATTTTTCGTTCGTTGCAAAAAAACTTATATCACTATCAAAAAAGGAATTCGTGACTACTCTTCAACTGTAGGCAATAATACCATCCAAACTAAAAATTCGAACCTATCCAATCCAACCAATCGAACCTATCAGTTCTTTCCTTTCAACGTCTCTTCCATTCTTGAATTTATCAATCATTTTAAAAAATTTCTCATTCTGCAGGATAGCAGCAAGAAATCTCACGCTGCACCTTTATTCTTCCTTCAATAATTGCACTTCTCAATCGTCATATTCTTTCCTTTCTCTCTCTTCTTTTTTTTTTTTTATCATAAAAGTTCACAAATGTTTCTCACACTTTTGAATTAACAAAATTCGCGAATTTTTCGTTTCACTTCGGCAGTTTTTCACAACTTTGGCTAATGTAAAAGACACGATCGTAACAGCGAAATTTCAGACACTGATCGATTCCTTGATCGAAAAGTATCATCTGTCCTTCTTTCCATAGCTTCATCTGCTCGTGTAGCGCGTGACACACTTTGCGGGAGGAAGAATTGCCGTCGTCATCGGTCATCGCACACGGTCGTGTCCTCTTCGTCGCACGTCATTTCGCACGTGGGTCATCATCGAATCCCTGGCTCGCAGCAATCAGCCAATCTGACGCGGTCGTAAGGTCGCTCTCGCTCTTGCATCGTTGACGATCAGACGAAGGGAAAATGTTCGAAAAATTGCGATTCCAGTTACGCAAAACGAAATGCCAAAAACAATTCAGAATGCATCCTCGAGAGATTCATCGCTTAGTCCACATAGAAGATGTAAAAAAAATATCTTTACAAAAATGGAGTACACGAATATAATTTCTTCGATGAACTTTTTTTATTTTTCTTGTATTTTTCTTTTTACGTTTTGTATGGAAAACAACATGAAAATCGCATTGACAAACAACAAAAAGCTACATTCCTGTTTTAATCATCGATGTTATTTTTAGCTATACTAAAACACTACCGAGCGCCGCGTCTCGCGCACGTCATTTATTCTCTAACTATTTTTTTTTTTTTTTAATTTTAGATCTCAACTTTTTCCATTTTATAAATCAGTATTATTAATCATTTATTTTTATTAATAAAGATTAAGAATAAGAACATTCTGCAAATCTTACCTGAAATAATTTGGAATTTACATTTAAAAGAAGAATATTTATTTATTCAAAAGAAGAATATTTGTTGATATAGAAATAAATGCTAAAATACTTCAATATTTACAATTTATATTATTGTATTATTATTATTATTATTATACTGATCTTTTACTCGATGTAACAATCAAAATATGATTTTTACGATGACAATTACTGATAAAATAAGGAAAGCGAGAAAACTAATGAGCATCGCGGAAAAGGAGTTTCATATTTCAATATTTTTATAACATGCCCTTTTTCAGAAAGGGAACTATGGAAACCTAATTTTTCTTCTCTTTATCGGAAATTTAGTTTTTCCAGGTTTTTGGTTCCATCAATATTTCCTGTTTTTTTACACGCGGAGAAACACAATGCTATTTTAATCGAGGAACTATTTGCGAATGAAATTAATTAAAAAATTTAATTACTTAAAAAATTTAATTACTTAAAAAATAATTTTGCTTTCTCTTCTATTTTTTGTTTAAAGACCTGTTTTACATAAGAAAACTCGCATTGCAGTATATTGAAGGTGGCCGCCATCTCGTCTTAATGACATGAAATATGGAAACCGCGTCGCAACCTGGGTTACCTACCGCTAAGCTTCACTTCCACCATGTTTACCGCACCTCGGAACTTCCTCTGGTTCGTGTTACTTGCCAGCAGCTGTTAAAATACAGTGACACGTTTACGAGAGGGGTTCTGATGTGTTTAAAGTAGAGTACATACACAATACACATTAACTTCCACATACTGCACACATTGATGAAATGATATAAAAAGATACTAAATAAAATTTTAGATTCAGATAGAATTTAATTATAATTTTTGCATGATGTTTGTAAGTAACAAATTGACCGATTGTTCCTATTTAAAAAAAATTATAGATTTAAAACAAAAATCTATAAAGAATTAAGAAAGAATTAATAAATTTATAAATTAAAGAATTTTTCTAAAGCGATTTAAAATGTATATTGGAGTATCCCTTCGAAAAGTGGAGGTGATATAAAAATATCTTATCTTCAAAGTAAACTCGTTGCTGTTTGTTTTTTCAATTCAAGCCCCGCGAATATCCGCAAAAATAACATCTCACAAATTTGTCACGTCAGGCGGCGGAGCGAAGGAAGAGCGAAGGAAGAAGTGCATTATCTCGAAAAGTTTCGGAACAACAATTTCTTGCGTCAATCCTCCTTGGCGCGCAGCCCCGCGAAGAATATTTGCGACCCTTTCATGGGCGCGTTTACTATCGATCGGGGAGGATATAACGCGTACCAGTCGTCGTTGCCACGAGTCGAGGAATCGCCATGAGAGAGCAAGAGGGAGAGAGAGGAGAGAGAGAGAGAGAGAGAGAGAGAGAGAGAGAGAGAGAGAGAGAGAGAGAGAGAGAGAGAGAGAGAGAGG